AGTAAATGTTATTATATTTAAAAATAAAAATTTATTATAAAAATTAGAATTTATTAATTTTAATCTAAATATAATATTAGTTACTATATATAAAATAAAAATAAAACACCAAAATCATTCTAAAATGAACCTGAACTATAGACAGTGACAGTTATAGTCCTCTAGTTCTATTTTTGTTTTTGCTATTTTTTATTTTATTTTATTTTATTGTATGGCCTTGCCAAGTGTTGGATTTTCTTCATTCCAGGAGGGTGGGGGTTGAGGTAATTAGGATTGCCAGGGCAATTCCTTTTGATACGAAGCTAAAAGGCAACAGCCTAGCCGAAAGTAGGTGCTGCTTCATCTTATTCGGTTATCATCAGGGTAGATGATGCTAAGCAAAAGAATTCACTAAGACATATTATTAAACAGTCACATTTGCTCTCACAACAAAGCCCCACAACATTTATTCATGCAAAATAACACTAGCAGAAGTCAAAATATAGTGTTTAACAAACACACACTGTAAAATAACACTGCAAGTCTGCAACATTTCGAGTGAAGTAAATAAATAACACCATAAATTTCGAGTAAGCTACCTTATCCTCTAGTGCTCACTTCGGCAGTAGAGGAAAGCTCCATTTTTCTCCATGGTTCAGAGTCGTATCATTCAACCCAGCAATGTTGGGGTTCAAACCTAAAGAGCACTGAGTAGGCATGGAACATGCCCATGCTGTAGGATTTTCTCCTCTTTCTCATCGTCACTCCAGCAGCATTTCAGGATGGACTTGGGAGAAACAGACTTCAGCAGCCCTAAGAAAGGGGTGGAAAGTGACAAAACCATCATTGCCAACCATTGCAAAGCTTCTTTCTTTGCAAAAGTATCCATCCAAGTCAAGTGGGATCCTGCATTCAAGTCCATTGTCAGCACCTAATGCTATAGATAACTCAGCTGGCTTGAAGCAAGCCAAAACCCTCTCAACCAGTTGGGCCAAATTCGCCATTTTAGAATCATAACCTGCTGCCTCAAAACTAGCATAACTGAAACCATCTTCTGGTGTAACATGGATTGTTGAAATTGCACCCCTTTCAACTGAATTCATGGAGTAACCACAAGGATCAAACTCAAAAGCACATATCTCAGACTGCAGAAGAATCTTCCTGATACCAGAATCTTCAGTCATCACATTTGCTGAACTTGCATGTGTTTTGTAGAAGACAGATGCCCCTCTTTTTGTCCAGTCCAGTCAATACACATTTCCAGCGTGTAAACAGGATCAGATTTACTCCTGTTTTCTGCAGAAGCTGAATAAATATGCCATTTCTTTGAACTATCAGGACTTCCCATCACACATGCTGTGCTGCCAGAACCAAGCTTGCCAAAGAAGCCATCAAGGATTCCTCAGAGAAACTGCGATGTGGAAACGGCTGAGTCCTAGGAAATATGAAGCTCCCACGAGTGTAATGAACAGACCGTACAAAGAGTGAAAGGTTACCAGCCAACTTAAGGATGACAGGGATTGAAAGAAGCAATTTTGTAGTCCCACAAGTCTTGATAATAATCTTGTAAGGATACACAAAGAGGCTTGATTCTGAAAGAACATATGAATTGGAATAACCATTAGACAGTGAAGAAACAACTGTGCATTGAGCAGGTTCCAGAATTTCATCCAATTGTGATTTGGATAAAGAACGGAGGCCCGTCCAATTGGAGTAAGCAAACACACCAGGCTTGAAAAAAGAAACCTTGAGCCTCTTTTCATAGCCTTCAAATCCAATAGCAGAAGTAGAAAAAGCCATACTGTATTAAGAAACAAACAATGTTGCAAGAAGAGAGAACAAGAGAGCAAGGTAAGAAGGAAGAAACTGATTAGATGACGTTGCAGTATGTGAGAGCTTGCAGGGTTATGTGAAAAATTTTGGAAACTCAGGATGGTTTTTGTATGCACTGTACAAATAAAGAGCGACATGATGTTAATTAAAGAGTTCTACCATAAAATAACATGCAACTGGGAGGAAATTCTAGGATAGAACTCACGTTAGAGTTAGCAGAAGATCTGAATTTCTTGATTCCACTGCAAGGCCGAACATCTTCAATGCTATAACCAAGAGGAGCTTCATAGAACAAGGATTTACTACTACTAAACTTCTTCCCACCATTAGACTCAATTAGATCATTCAGCCATCCCTGCCAAGAACAATCTAAAAGAATTCAAAACCAAGAGAACTTTGTGATGGCAAATGAACAAAAACTAGTCATACACAAGCAAAAACAGCCAAATATATCCATTTGGATCTGTGTAACCACAAACCACACTAATACAAAAAACAAAGAGAGGATAAATAATACATAATATTACCAAGTAGAACCTAAAAACATAGACATAGCTATCAACAGATTCCTATACCCGTATGATAGAAATAGTGAATGTATAATGATGTTCAAATGTTAATTGGGTTGTGAGAAAAAAAAAAAAAAAGAGAGAGAGAAGACATAAGACAAGACTAATCATCTTTTTCACTATGTATAGCTTATACAAGTCCCTCCAAATAGAAATCAAAGTAATAGCCAAATAAAATACAACACAAAACAGAAAGATAACTGTATAAGAAAGTAAACCAAACCATAAACTTATATCATATAGGATCAACGAGCCCCAACCTAGATAGGTAAAATATTTCTTGGATCATTCTCCTTTCCAAGCAGTGGCAAAGATCAACATTAGAAGTATTTTTATCAATAGAAAAATGATACCTTAAACTTTTACATCTCAAGTTATAAAACCCTTGAGAGGTGTAAGACAATAAAGTTTTTAGATGTCATTTTTCTACTAACTGAGGATGTTGAGTTTTTGAAGTATGGCATTTCTATCCATTATAGTTCTAATTCTCAAGGTTCTCAAAGAGCAAAGTATTAAATGTTGGCATCCTTTTTCTAACGTCACCTTAAGTATTCTTATGTGATCCAAATTTTGAAATATCACAGAAGGTGATCAAATTGATATAATTCCACAAGAAAGAATAATTAGTAATCAAATAAGCAGTTTCATTGAGAAGAAACGTAACATTAATTGATTGAAGAAGCAATTAATTGTTGGCCAAAAGAAAAAGAAGCAATTAACTGAGTTTATTTCATAAACTGAAGGCAAAAAAATGAGGAAATTTGGTCCAAGATAAGAACTAATAGGAATCAAAACAAGGTCAAAATTGCATTAAAAGTATGATAACATGTACATACTTCCTAGAAGCAATTGGACCAAGACTCTTATGACTCAGAAGCAGAGAATTACATCACAGATCTCTCTTCAGTTCTTTGGAAGAAAAAATGAAATAAATTAAAAAGCTCTTAAACAAGCTAAATCAAGAAAGCATACAAATCAAACTGGATAGACAATGTTTCTTTAATCAGCTTGACTTGTTGTTCATGCCTGTTGCATTCTTCACAGCTTCAGCTGCTCCTTGAGCCTCAGCCATCATCACCCCTCCAGCCTATTCCAAAAGAAAAAAAAATCTTTAATGCGGAAGAAATGTGCAGTTCTACATAAAACTTATGAAAGTTGATCATCTATGCCAGGATCTGTTGCATTTTGTCACAAAGTATGATTGCCTTGACCAATAGACTATGATTTTGATGCTTCCTATGGTGGAAACCCTTTTGCAACCATTTTAGGAATGTATAAAAGAAATTCGTGATTAGGAGATTAATATCTTTACATCTGCAATTGAGTCCTTGGCAGATTGGGCAACTTCGGATGCCTTGTCCATCATGCCACCAGCCTTTTCCTGAAAAAGAGCAATAAAAAAGCATCACCACAATGATCATACGGTGTAAGCTGGTAAACAGAATCATGCTGCAGTCACTGCTCCTGAGCTTACCTCAGTTTTTCCTTGGCCTGCCCCGCCTCATAGCTAATGTTCTGGGCCTGGCTTTGAGAAGACTTATCCATCTTTGATATATTCCTTTTTGAAAGTTAGAATGAAGAAAATATGGAGATTGATAAAGGCATAGAATGTAAATGGAGTCTAGTGGTGATGAAGAAATGAATGTTTGCTTCAAAATTTATAGCTTCTGAACCTAGTTCATACTTTGACAAGTGCAATGCCACACGAACGGCATGGCAAAATTCAGGTGCTGAAGATTTCTAGCAGGGAGTATGTTACACCCTTCGACCAGGATGCTCCCAGGAGCATTTCATCAAACAGATACAATTCAAGAAACAGTTTCCTACTTTTTGGGATCTCTAATGTTTAACAGGTATCAGGATCTGTGTAAACTATAAAGGAGTGGGCCTAGACACCAACAATAAACAGTTACGCTTTAAAGTATTAAAAAAAATAAAAATTATTTAATTTGCACTTGAGCAGCTAAATTGATAAATTTGAATCCTCTCTCATAAATAATAACTAATAAATTAAAGATTAAAAAATATTCATAAACTCCTTTTGAAAAATTTTATAAAATCTATGAAAAAGACCTATTTCTTACACTAAATTTAAAACTAACTGTACAAAGTAAAAAAAGGCCAAAAATCAAGAAATTGTAGCCTTTCAACTACAGTTATCATCAGTTTCAAAGAAATATTCCACAATTTTATTTTGAACAAATTTGGTTCGGAACCAAACAAAAAAAGGAACACTATTTTTTTTCTACATCTGAATAGTCTTTTGCGTTTGAGACTTGACAACCCAACACAGAGGTTCAAGCTCTTACCATTACTGTTGGCACCTCCCATGGTTCCATATTAGCGGCTAATAATAAACTCAATCAGATGATTGCTTGTGGCTCCAATATATTCATGCCACTATATTGTTAAATGAAGATTAAGCACTGCAACCTCTCACCCGGAAGTTAATTTATCAGGCAACTTCAAGTGCTCCATATCCTTCAAAATACTTTTAGATTAGGCCCCTCTCATCCAGATGAGACCAAAAGAAACCTAAGATGCTATCATCAGCAAAGGAAGCGTTTAAACATCTATAAATTTTCATAGTTATCATCAACCTCCTCTTATACATTTCGTTCAAAAAATCTGAAGCAATATTGACCTTTCCCATTTTCCAGTAAGCATAAGCCATACTAGTGTATATAACACTATCTCCTGATATACCTTTTCTTAGCATAAGGTTAAATACTCTTTGAGCATAATCAATATTTTCCTGCTTGCAAAACCTCCTTATCAATGCCCTATATACCGAGACATCTAGGCAAAGACCTCTTTCATTAAACTCATCCAGGAGTTTAATAATTGCTTCTTCATTGCCTTGGTTGCAGTATCCATCAACAAGCCATGAGTAGGTGCAATAACCAGGCGAAAAGCCTCTATCAAGCATGCCAAATAAGAGCTCTTTAGCATTGTCCAAATCCTGAACCTTGCAAAACCCATGAATCAATGCCTTGAAAGTAAACTGGTTCAGCTTCAATCCTGCCTCCAACATCTTCTTCTTTACTTTCATTGCTGACCTCATATCTCCTATCTTGGAATAAGCATTTATCAATGTGTTACAAGTGATACTATCAGGCTCAACATTCTTATCACTCATCTCATTCAAAATTCTATTAGCATCCTTTATTCTGGCTTCCTCACACAACTTATGAATAATTGAATTATATGTAACAACACTAGGATACAAACCCTTGGCCTCCATTGCCTCACGCAATGTCAAAGCTTCCTTGAGGTCATTCACTCTACAATAACCATCAATTAAAGTAGTATATGTCACAACGTTAGGAGCTGCACCCTTAATTTCCTTAAAGAGCCTTAAAGCCTCCCTCATTCTACCTTCTCTACAAAACCCAAAAATAAGGGAATTATAAGTTATAATATCAGGACTAACTCCTGATCTTTCCATTCTATCTTGAACCGATAAAGCCTCATAATGCATACCCTTCTTGCCATACAATGCAATCAATGTATTGTATGTATAAAGGTCAGGAGAAACACCATTAAATTCCATCTCAGCCAACACCTTCTCCACCTTATCCACATCCCCAGACTTGCAACAAGCATGAACCAACACATTATACACATGTATATTTGCAACAACTCCAAGTCTAACCATCTTCTTATAAAGTTTCCAGACCATATGAGTCGACCTCTCTTTCACCAAAGGGTTCAAAAGCACGGTACATGCATGCAAATGAGGCTTGAAACCATGCACCCTCATTTGCTCAAACACTTGGATGGCATCTTGGGTCATCCTCAAATTTGCATAGGATATCACAAGCCAGCTCAAAATATGAGAATTCACATTTGGGTCACAATTGGTACTCACCAACGCATTCAAAACAGAGGGTGATGATAAGAAATTGTTGTGGGTAATTTTCTCAAGCAGGTTTTGTGCAATCTTGAAATGTTTGTGCTTGGTGAGAATGTGAACCATTGTCCACGACGATTGCAAGAAATGCTTGTAATTTGAAGCGGATTCAACCCATTTGTAAAATTCCAAAGAAAGCAAAGGACCATATCCATACAGCGAGAGTTGAAAAAGAACCTGGTTAATAGCTGCTGAGGTGACATGGTTACCGACATTGAGTTTCAAGATATCCTTCCACCGTCCCTTTAGTACAATGGCACAAATACTATGGATGAATTGGGTTTCTAGAGAAACTTTGCCAACCATTCTGGTTTCTCGCTTCTAGGACTGCCACTTCTGACTGATCTACAATCTTCCCCAGAACAGAAATCGAAAAAGCAAACTGGCACTTGTCAAGTCGCGGAGCACAAGAATAGATCTATGTGGAAGAAAACCTGGATCCATTTAAGAAAATGAAATGGGCCAACTAAGCCCATTTAATCTACCTTCGAAACGTTATTAATAATAAGGATTGATTTCCTTTCCCTTTTTTTCGGGGTGGGGGATTGCAATTTAGCTACTTATAATTTACGATAAATGCACATAAAGATTTGAAAATTTAAAATGTGCATATAATAGATTTGTAGTTTTGGGTATATGTAAATAAAAACTCAAAATATCAAAATATGCATATAAACACCTAAGATTTGTGCTTGATGCAAATAATCACTTGAAATTTCTTTAAAACCCTTTACTTAAAAAAATGAAAAGAAAAGAAAAATAAGGGTATTTAAGACAATTTCATGTAATTTCAAGTTGTTCCATACACCTAATACAACCCTTAGGTCCTTATTTGCACATCTTGAAATCTCAAGTCTTTATATGCACCATCTCAAATCACAAGTATGTTACATGCACATTTTAAAATTTCGAGTATTTCTGTGCAACAACCCTAAACCACAAGTAGCTAAATTATAATTTTCCCCTTTTTTTTCTTTTTTTATAAAATGATGTTCAATAGTATAACCATTTGTACATATTTGAAGAGCACTTTTTTCTTACTTCTATTTTTTAAATGGAATTGGATTTTTTTTTTTTTAGTAGAGTTATACTATAACAAACCTCCCTAGGCACTCTTAGTCTTAGAAGAGTTCGGAAATAAGATTTATAGTAAAGAATTGCACCGGAAGTAAAAACACTTCTATTAGAAAATGTTTCCTTAAAAGAAAACTTGCTTTTAAACCAATTTAAAAGTTTATGGAAGGAAAATCAAATACTTGTGAAGAAAAACTATTTTAACAAAAAATATGTCTTCAGGAAAAGTTAAAATACTCAAAGTTATAAAATAAACTAAGTTAATCTCATTTATAATTAACTTAAAGATTATGTACATAAAGGTAATTTACAAAAAAATTATATGAGGCAAATTTCTTCTCCAAAGCTTTTCAAAAGAACAAAAGTTGAGTCATTGTTTTGATAACATATCGATTTGCCTCCTTATCGAAAACACAAGGCCCTAGCTTGTACATACAACGAGCATGCAAGTCCCATGCCAAAAGCTCTTAACTCGAGAGGTTGCTACCTCGATCTACTGATCTGAAATGGGGGAATTTTATGAGCTAAAAGCCCAGTAATTAATAAGTTTAAGTTATAAACTTGGGTCTTAAGGCTCCCAGACTTATACACACAAAGAGCATGGGATACAATGGAACCAAACCACACAATATTATATGATTTTCAATATTTAAATAATAACTTAATATCTCAAATCATAATGGAATAATCAATGATATTTCAATCAAATTCATATAGTAAAATTATATGCTCACAAATACGATGTCACAAGCACAATGCATAGAACCGAAAATCACACAATGCCATGGAGTCCACTGATGTGTGCTAGCAGCACTGTACCGGATCTAATCACAATACTAATCCTACTGTGCAAAGATCCATTAAATACCCCAAACTTTAAGTTTAGATAGCCACAAACACATACGCATGTCAAATAAATTCAGAATATGTCCAAAATAATATTAGGACTTCCTATTGAAAGAGATTAAAGCATAGTGTGTGAATAGTAATCATAAACGGTAATTCGTGAATAGTAATTTGTGAACACTGCAATTTACTTATAATTCCGGCAAGTAAAAATTCACATCCAAATCAAACATAAAAAGGAATAACTTACTGTCTTTCTCATATAAGCCCCAAAATTAAGGATATTTCTAATGAAATTTTAATACCCAAAAAATCTTACAAACCAAAAGATTAGAGTCAAATCTCACCAATTTAACTACCCAAAACTCTAACTCCAAATTCATAATTAAAACTTATATTTACCTAACAAAAAGCACCTTAACCTTGGTTGGTGAAAGAAGGAAGAAAAAGATGCAGGGGACAATTGGAAGATGCAAGACACGTAGGGCAAAAAAAAAAAGGGGAGGGGGGGACTTTTGGGAGCCTTCTAGAGGCTTATCCAAGTACCACCAACAATGAAAAAAAACTTGATTGGGATAATGCCATGTGGTAAGCAAAATTGGGATAATTGAGTTAAGGCCATTCAACTTCTACTAAGTTTTACTTAAAACCCTCAAACTTTAAATTCAATCAATTTAATTCCTCAAACTATAAACTAAATGACACTAATTTTTAAATTATTCACTAAGGTATGTGAGGTGTTACATATACACCCAAAATTAAGGTCCTTATATTGAGACAGTTCTCATTTCTTCAAGCTAAATTATGATTGCAAAAACCTTCTACAGCAAATTCCTTACATTGAGGTCGTGTTGTCCATGGTCATAAATCGTATATGGCAACGGATATTATGGCTAAAATAGGACACAACATTGCGAGGATTTTGTTGTTTTTTATTTTATTCCCAAGCAGTTAAATATGCATATATTGCTAACATTATAGGGAATGATATAGTTAGGATTAAATTTCTTAGAACTCACTGTTATATTTTTCTTTTAAGTAATGATATATCTTTTTACTACTAATTTTCTTTTTATATTAAAATTTTAAAATTCTTTTTATTTCACCGACCCGAACATTGCCCGAGGTATTAACTAGTTATATGATATTATAAATTTATAATTTTAGATGTTATAATATAATTATTTTTTATTTAAAAATTTATAATTTCAACAATTACAACATGGTAATAACTGCCATGGAAGGTGAAAGAAAGAAAGATCCCTCATTTTCAACATTGTAGCACTTGTATATGTTTTGTTCAAGGGGGGAGGATTCAAGCAACTTTTAGGGCTTCTTTGCTTTTTAAGGATGTTTTTACTAAAGGAGGAGTTTATAAAATTTCAAATTTTGGTGTTTCTTTGAATGAACATCCTTATAAGCCAACCACACTTAACTATATGGTTGTTTTTAATCCTAGGACTACTCAGAGTTTGCTTGATAATTCCAACATTCCTTGTTATGCATTTTCTTTCATTGAGTTGATATGATTTTAAAACAAACTCAAGAAAATGCTTTTTTAGTTAGTATATTTATTACAAAATAATTTCATTATATTTTTATTTATTTTAGGTTTAAGTACCATTTTGGTCCCTCAACTTTGCACTTTGATACCAAAAATGTCCCTCAACTTAAAAAAGTACCAAAATTATCCTTGAACTTTCATTTTTGGTACCAAAATGATCCTTCCGTCAGTTAAACGCCAGGTGGCCCGTTAAGATGCCACAAAATCACCAACTTTTTTTATTTTTAATGATGTGTAAATCCAGCAAGGACATTTTTGACGCTGGCATTTTTCCACGTCAGATTGCTTCCTCACTTTTCAGATTCATTTTTTGTGAGACCCACATAAAAAAAAACATATAATTTAAAAATAATAATTCTTTTTTTTTCACCCACGTCAGATTTCTTCTTCCTCCTTCATTTTCTCTCTCTTTTACCTTTCCTCTTCTCTTACCTCTGCAAACCTAGATCTGGGTTTTCTCTCAAACTTCGTCTTCTTCCTCCTTTCGTCCTTACTTTCCCTGCTCATCTTTCTTTCTTCTTCTTATTCTCTCGCTCTCTCTCTCTCTCTCTTCTCCCTTCTTCTTCCTCTCTCAAACCCAAATCTGGGTTTTAGAAAAATTGCTCCCTTCTTCGGCTTTATGTGAAATTATTCATTAATTTCATTTCTCCATCGGACAAACAATTCAAAAAACACTAAGCTCGCAAGCAGCTCATAAAATCACCCACCAATAAATACCTAACACCAGTAGAACACGAACTTGACAAACACATATCCTTGAAAGCTTCCACAAACTGCAACCCACTTCCTAGAGACACCAAAATATCCATTAAAATCCACAAAGGATCGAACTTTTTTTGGAGCAAAACCCCGATAAGACTATCTGCTCCAAGATAAACAGCAGAAGGGAAAACACACTAAATCCCAAAAAAGCACTAATTTAGAGCAAACCCAGATTAGCGTGGGTAGGAGAAAACTCTAATGAACAGAATGAAAAATCAAATCTTGCTACCTACTTCAACGCAAGCTCTCAATATGCAACAATGGGGATAGAAAAGTGAAAATCAAGCTATGAAATTGCAAGAAACGTTGAATTGAAATCAAATCGGAATTATGGCCGAGAATTCAAAATAATAAGTAAGAGATAAATCAGAGAGGGAGATAAATATAGAATAAATCTAGGTTTGCAAAGGGGCCATTCTGGGTTCTCTCTCAAGCCGTTCCTGCTTCTAACAAACACAAACTCGAAGCAGACAGGATCGAACCCAAGGTGAAAGCTTAGAGCGAATTGACAATGGTGGTAACCATCTCATCTCCATGGGGCAAGCCTAGCGCCTGGGCGCTCGACGCTGAAGAACATGAAGCCGAACTCCAATAGTTGAAGAACCAACCAAACCCCGCCCTTCCCACCAAGCAGCTGACGGGGGAATCTGGGTTTGAGAAAAACCTAGATCTGGGTTTGACAGGAGAAGAAAAAGGCCGACAGCAGTAGTAGCAGAAGGATTGGCTTGGATTTGCAGAGGTATCGAGTGCGGCGGCGTTGTGCTCGTTGTTGTCGACGATGATGATCTCATTTGCTTCTCGGTTGTTTGAGAAAACCCAAGGCTTGGGTTTGCAGAGGTAAGAGAAAAGGAAAGGTAAAGGAGAAAGAAAATGAAGGAGGAAGAAGAAATCTGACGTGGGTGAAAAATAAAAGAATTATTATTTTTAAATTAAATGAAAATGCCAACTCATAAAAAAAATGCCAACTATGTTTTTTTTTTCCATGTCATTAGTTAAGTAAACAAAAAGAATTGATTTGCTGGCATTTTAACGGGCCACCTGGCGTTTAACTGACAGAAGGACCATTTTGATACCAAAAATGAAAGTTCAAGGATAATTTTGGTACTTTTTTAAGTTGAGGGACATTTTTGGTACCAAAGTGCAAAGTTGAGGGACCAAAATGGTACTTAAACCTTTATTTTAATTTATTTAATTGCACTATTGGTTTGATAAATTGTTTACATTAAGTGATTTGCTCCTTTGTAGATGTTACTAGGTTGTTATCAGTGGTACTTAACCGGAAGAAAGTGACAAAAAATGGTTCTCCATTGAATATGATTTTATTTGAACTTGATGTTTTAAGGTATTTTTCATTTGCATATTTTTATTTTTTATTAGTTTCTCAATATATTTCTTTTAATTTATTTATTTTTCTTTCATGTTGCAAACAGTGGTAATAAGCTCTGTTGCATCCTTTGGGAAAATTTTGCTGTTGAAATGTGTTTGATTATTGACAAAAACTCCAATGAACCTATTATCTTTATCATTTAATTTGCAAAGATGAAATCATGGAGAGGTTTTACTATTCCTTTTTAATTTTCAATTTTAGTGTTTTCTTCAAATTTTATTTTTAAAGTTTTATACAATTTTTTTGGTCGCTTATTTAGGTGAGATGGGGATTTCCCACCATATTCAATACAATGATCTTTATAAATAATTATGATATTCCTAAAGTTTTAACATTTAACTATTTAAGGAGAGGTAATTTTACTGCTTTTAGCCCTTTTTTTTCTATTATTTATCAACATTTTTATTTTTACCTAAGTTTAATGTTCGTAGGATTCCCGTTAGTGAAGGGATTCACATTGAAAAGTCGAGCACAGTAGGCTATGGCAGGTTGTCACTTGATATGAAGTTCTGCATTCTACTTTAAGGAAGACTATTGTGGAAATTAAGGAGTCCAGAGAAGTAATTCTTACATTGTTGTCCTTATTTTTATTTATATAGGTATTATATTTTATTATTTTTTGTCTACTTATTGTATTATACACATTTTAATATATCAGCTTTTTGAGATATTTCAAATTGTAAATGAATAAATATGTGAAAAAGATTCTATTCTTATTAAAATTTAGGCTGAGTTTCATTTGTTTTGCATCCTTGTTATCTTTATCATTATGTTTCGTGTTATGTTAATCTTCAACTCATTTGCTTAATCCTTCTGAGTATGGTGCCAAGAGAAAGAAAAACTATGATGATGCTGCTTTTCCTGTTATTGATTCTAGCCATGGATAGAGGCTAAGGAAGAAAAGTTTTTATTTTTTCAAAGATTGTGCAACAAAATATTAGTCTTCTCTTCTATAACGTAAGATCCTTATTTCATATTTATTTCTATCAAATTTATTTAACAGTTGTGTTATTTTGTACTATTTAAATGTTTAGTAAATGAATATATGGCTTACTTTGTCTATTAATAATTTTCTAAATTGTTTTACTTATGATATAACATTTCAAAACAGGCAAACCAACTAGGATACAGTCTAAGGTTCTTATTTGAAAATATTTCAAATACAAAGGAGTTGCTAAAAACAATTTTACTTAATTACAAAATTTTAGGATAGTTGTGGAGCATAGAAAGTTTGCATAAAAACTCAAGTATAGTCCATGCTTAGTTAAACATCTAAAAACTTTACAAGTTTCCTCAAAACAAACTAACAAACTCTCCAACATCTTTCAAGTGCAAAATCTGGATAAACACATTAATAGAGCTAGGGTTAGGTTTTGGGTAGAAGTCAAGTTTGTCTAACTAATCTGGATATACACATAAACTTTCCACCATCTTCTAAACTTAAACTAGCTAAATAGTTAGGTAACTTACCTCGAGTTAGCTTGACCTTAACCATAATCTCCCTCAAAGTCCTACAATTCAGCTATTATTGCATGCCTCTAAACTCAATATAGCACTAATACTCACTCACCTAAGCTTTGCAAGGCTAAGTTTTGGGTGGAAGTCAAGTTTATCTTACCAATCTGGATATACACATAAACTCTCCATTATCTTCTAAACTTAAATTGGCTAGTAGTTAGTTAACGTACCTCAAGTTAGCTTGACTATAACCATAATCTACCTCAAAGTCCTACAATTCAGCTATTGTTGCATGCCTCTAGACTTAGTACAAGACTAATACTCACTCACCTAAGCTATGTAGGACTTGGGAACCCTCCTAAATTCTTCAAACTCTAGCATTTTGTAGCTCTTGTGAAGTCTCAGCCTCCTTTCCTCTTTTCTCATTTGGTGACAGAAAAGGAAATGGCAAAATGAACTTAGTTCTCCACTAAGTTTCAAGACAATCAATTTGAAGTGCAAACTACTCTTAGTGGAATTAACTTCTCTTCACTAGCTCATTTCCTCAAGCTTTCTCAAGTGTTCTTAGCAATTACATGCTAAGAAACATGTACACGCTTCCTTTACTGTTAAAAAAATATCAACTAAATTACCATGCAACCAACTAGCATTAAAGTCAATCCACTTAAGTTTAAGGAAATTTACACTTAAGGATATAGGTTTGTAAAGACTTTAAGGACATATGTTTGTTAAAACCTTCAATTACAAGTAAGGCTATTTCATATGATTAATGCTAGTTTGTTTTAAATCTCTCATAATATGTTAATTAAGTCATTCATTCACTTGATTTTATATTATTTGATGCAATACAAGGAAAAAGAAAGTTGTTGGTAATAGACGAAAGTCCTCTCTATTAACAAGTTATTTGGAAAGGGAATACTGATGTTTTATTTCCAATCTCTTATGGTGAAGGTATTTTCTTATATGTTTTTATTATTCTTTTATTGACATAACATTTTAGTCTTATTAACTCTGTATACTTACTTAGATGTTTTTATTATTCTTTGTTTTCGAATTCCTTTATCTCTATTTCACATATTAGACTTCCTTTGGGTTTATTGGTTTTTTTTTTTAGTTGTTACTCAAACAACGATGTCATCTCAATGTCACTGTTTATAAGAAAACATCCACAAAAGCTAAAATCATGGATTTGAGTTTGCAAATTTGTGCAATATTAATCTTCGCTTATGTTTTCCTACTTGGTTGTGTCTATTTATTTAATTTCCAACCAAGGAGCAAGTCTCAAATCATAGCTTTGGATCTCATATTAAATGCCTTCTTTATTTTCTAAGCATAGATTCTGTTGAAGGTTTTCATTTGGAATTAAACTTAGCTTGGTTGTTGCCTGAACTAAAACTTTTATCATGATAGTTTCTAGCTAATGCAGAAGGAGTTAACAAAGCCAGCATGATCAAGCTTTTAAAATCATATGGTGGATTGTCTTGTGTAAGTTTGTCTCATCTTCCCATTTTCTTTTAACTTTTGGAAGTAGTTTATCCTTCTTTAATTCAGAATTTGTTGTGGCATATGACTCAACAATTAGTAGGCTATTCCATTCATATTTCTTCATCTTAATTTTTTGTTTTTTTGAGATTGTCACTCCTTTATTTCCATGACCATTCTAATTCATAACAAAATTGGAGACAAAGGGATTCTTCAGTAAGATTCAATTCATTAGTCTTGATTGAGTTTATATGGGAAATCAAGAGTTTTGCCTATTGAATTTGGTTAGTTTATAACAAAATGTTCAAATGTGTCTTTGACATCTTTGTAATTTCAAGTTTTTTCTGGCAATGGTTGGTGGTAAATGGGTCTATCTAGCTTTTAGCTTTTTTAATGTTACAAAATTACTTCACACAAAATGGTTAATTGTTTTTTGCTTTGATGCTTTCAACTTTCCATTTTTCGCAATAATTATTTTACTTTCTTCCTTATCGATTTGTTACATGGTTGGTAAAGAAATGGTAAAGCTATTGTGAAGCTATCATGGAGCTATCATGGTATGAAAGTGCCATCTTATGTAGCATCATTAGTTTACACCATGAAGAAATCCCCAAAGATTAACCCTTGAGTTGAGCATAAGCTCAAGCTTTAGCTTTCTGCTTATATAATTATTATCTCATGCATAAGACAAATTAGTGAATTATATCTGTTTTTGAATAGTTTTCACACTATCCTAACGGTTGATCTATAGGATTGATTTTTTTTTTTATTTTAATTGTAAGATTTGGTATGTAATGAGGTTCCTTCTCCTTTTTTTGTAACAATTGCTCTGAAAGAATGAAAATTTGTGTAGACATACGAGAAGTTAATAGTCGAACTGGTTGGTAGAGAGCTTTCAAATATAATTGTTATTAATATAAAGCTATAAGTGATGCATGCTAAAGTTGCTAAAAAGTTTGTATGTTGCTACAATTGAATAATACTTGCTGGTGGTACTGCTCGTTGATTCCCTTGTGCTAGTGGATGTGGTTAACAACTCTGTTTTTTTTTTTTTACCAGAAAACATTCTGATTATTTAGAATTTTCCTTATCTTCTGATCAGTGGCTTGTAACTAAATTTTCCTATATGCACATAGACCTAGGGCTATGGGATTTACCACTTTACCTTGCCTCTGTTTGATTCCTTGTCCTTTGTGGATATCATGGAGACAATAAAATGTAATATGTAAAATGCAATACATAGTTAATTATGTTAAATATGGCTAGAATTGGGAATTTGTTTACAGGTATAGCTATAGAATCATCCAGTAGTATAAAGTACATGCATATAGGATGTTAGGATTCATAATTGATTTTAACTACTTTTTACATTAACTTTTTAGTGATTATGAATTGATAAGAGCATTTATGTATTGGTGAAGGAAATTTGAACATGGTCTAAAAGATACTTAACAAGAACAGCACTTTGCATAGAAAGATGGATTGGATAATGACAAGAAATGCTTCTATAAATTTTGAATTAGTATAAAGAGATATCTTAAAAAAAGTTTACTAGATATTGATTCTATTCTATCTACTTAACTGTACTTCTATTTGAGCTCTACTACAGGTCTCCTAACTTTTGTTGTCAATTTATTGTTGTGCTTCGGTGGCCTCATTGTGGGTGAATTTTATTGCAATATGCCTTTAAGGCATTGATTTAGTTTCCATTGCTTTTTGTAAATGTATTCTTGCAAAACACATTTGATAATGTATTATATAACTAAAGACAGTTCTCATTTCTTTAAGTTGAATTTTGATCATAGAAACCTCCTACAACAGATTCCTTACATTGAGGTCATGTCGCCCATGATTGTGAATCATATATGGCAACGGATATTATGGCTAAAATAAGACACAACATTGTGAGGATTTTGTTGTTTTTTATTGTATCCCAAGCAGTTAAATATGCATATATTGCTAACACTATAAGGATTAACATAATTGGGATTAAATTTCTTAGAAATCACTGTTATATATATATATATATATTTAAGTAATGAATATCTTTTTATTGTATCCCAAGCAGTTAAATATGCATATATTGCTAACACTATAAGGATTAACATAATTGGGATTAAATTTCTTAGAAATCACTATTATATATATATATATTTAAGTAATGAATATCTTTTTACTACTAATTTTCTTTTTATATTAAAATTTTAAAATTCTTTTTATTTCACGAGCTTGCTCATTACCTAAGGTATTAACTAGTTATATAATATTATAAATTTATAATTTTAGATGTTATAATATGATTACTTTTTATTTAAAAATTTATAATTTCAACAATTACAATATGGTAATAAATGCCATGGACGGTAAAAGAAAACTTCCCCATTTTCAACATTTTACATCACCTTTCAATGGGCCTAGAATATTTGGTCAACATCTATATCCTTTAAAATACTTTTAGATGTTAGGCCTATCTCAGCCAGATGAGACCAAAAGAAACCTAAGATGCTATAGCAAAGGAAGCATTTAAACATCTATAAATTTTCATAGTTATCATCAACCTCCTCTTATACATTTCATTCAAAAAATCTGAAGCAACATTCAACTTTCCCATTTTCCAGTAAGCATAAGGCATACTAGTGTATATAACACTATCTCCTGATATACCTTTTCCTAGCATAAGGTTGACTATTCTTTGAGCATAATCAATATTTTCCTACTTGCAAAACCTCCTTATCAGTGCCTTATATACCGAGACATCTAGGCAAAGACCTCTTTCATTAAACTAATCCAGGAGTTTTATAATTGCTTCTTCATTGCCTTGGTTGCAGTATCCATCAACCAGCCACAAGTAGGTGCAATAACTAGGCGAAGAGCCTATATCAAGCATGCCAAATAACAGCTCTTTAGCACTGTCCAAATCCTGAACCTTGCAAAACCCATGAACCAATGCCTTGAAAGTAAATTGGTTCAGAGAGACATTCTTGGAGACCATCCTCAACTTCTGTTGTTGTGACATTCAGTGCTCGTAGGAGAATAGACAAGTGTTGTGCTTTCTTTGGGTCGATAATCTTAATATACTGAGACGAATCTTTCCTTTGATCATTTTTGTGGTGATCTACAGTATAACCAAATAAACTCTCTATCATCTCCTCATTGAACCTGTAAAGTTTTTAATACAATTTCCTATCATGAGGAAGATTTTCCAAGCAACCGTTAGTGAGAAAATCAATATTAAACGTAAGGTATATAGCCTTACTGGAGTGATCCACCACTAATCTCATCCCAAACCATTGAGTGACCTGGACTGGCAAGAACCTTGTCCCAGAAAAATGGCTTTAGCTTGGTTTTTGGAGCTCCAGATTCATCAGATGGCTCACTAGAAGCACTATTTCCTTGACGACGTGGTGCAGAAGGTACAAGTTTTGATTTAGGTGGCATAGGAGGACAAGCTTTAGGAGGCGGTGGGGGGCGAAGACCAGGTGGAGGAGCTAATCTTCCAGGAGGAGGTTTTAGAGGAGGAAATGAGGGTGTTCCGGCAATTGCTCCCAATGGCTCTGCCTCAGCCAATGAGGAATCAGGTTTATCAGGCTTGGCTGACAAATTCTTTACACTATCAATGCAGAAATCTTTGGTATTGGAATTTCCTAAACTTATAGATTGCTGGGGAGAACCTGAAAGATCAAAGAGTTCAATTGTTTGTGAAAATGAATTAAGAAAAGAAAGATGATTATAATAACTAAATAGTGGAAAACCTACAAGCCCATATCGCCTGAAAAATCACTTAAGTCAAGAAGACGTCTCCCATCTCCATGTTCTTCTCTGGGGCTAATTTTATTCTTATTACCCTTGACCTTGAGACAACAAAAGAAGAGCAGTGCAACAACGGTAAAAGTTTATGCTGCAGTTACAACTACAACAACCATCAATTCTCTATCGACGTCCTCCTGCTCCTTTGGTGAAGCTTCTTGTTTTTACCTTTGGCACCAGGAGGAGAAGGTTTATTGGATGAAGATGGTGGCTTAGATTTTGAACCTTTAGTATCTTCAGATTCTGAAGAGGACGCCTTAATTTATACAAGGAGCATATGAGATAATGCTCTGTCAGAGTGCCGTGTCCTTGCAGATAGATAGCTTGTAGTTGCCAAATATGATTTTTCAAGATCCTGACTAAGATCTGTTTCTGGTGCTGATTTCAGAGCTAGTGTGGGAGTGCCTGAATCCTGTTGACTTAAATCACTGAGCAGATATCTCATAGGAGCATTTGGCAAGTTAAAAACAAACTCAACAAATTCTATGCACCAGCTAAAGATAGCCTCTGGACCAGAATCATGAAACACAAGACCTTTCTTTCTTAAAACAAACGAAAAATATTTCTTTTACTTGTGGAGGATGAAGACTGATGAGTTCATATATGTTCCTTTCTGGAAATAATGCTGATTGCAAATTACTGGTTGCTTTTTGTTGGATACGTGGATTGACATCTTTACTAGCACCTTCCCTTTCAATCAAATATTTCCCGCAATAAATAAATGGCTGCATTGCCTGTAGATTAGAGTTTGTCATCAAAATTGTGCTACAAATATCAAATGTGAACCGTCAAGAACAGAATCACATCATAAAATTGTAATGTTTTTCACCGTGTAATTGTCATTGCTACCCCTCCAAAATACCATAGGTTTTAATAGTTTGTTTAATGTTAGATATCAGGATATGTTTGCTGGGAGAAACTAATGACCATCAAAAGTTTTCCCTTCTCTTTGATATCCCTGTTTGTGCAAGTATCAAGAAAAACTACAAGAGAAGAAGAATCAGGTCAAAGGTCTAAATACCATGTTATGGTGAAAAATGCTACAAGCGAACGTAGAGGAAGAATGTTACTCCTACCCACTTTACAAACTAGAACTCCTAAATGCAGACATAATCTTACACAAACTTGGCTATTGAAGTGAATTTTGCTATCTCCTTTGAACTGTATCTGTAAATTTAAATTAACACCGCAACCAACTAATTCACAAAAGTCTTTTGATATCATTGGTAAGAAGAGCATATGTAGAAAAGGAATTGAAGCTTCAATTTGTGCATTATCTAGAACAAACAATCATTATTATAATTAGGGAAAGTCTTATATGAATAATGAATGGTT